CTATTCTTCCTCCAGAACGCGTCGTTTTAAGTTGGTTTTCTGATACCGTTGAAATATCAACGTGTATGTAGGCTTTCTGTTGAGGTATCATCAATGCAGGAGTTGTGCCGTGCAATTGTTCTGAATAGGATTTCCTTCTAAGTACGCTGCTTTGAGGCGATCGATGCTGATGCTATCGTTGGTTCCGTCCTTAACGATTATATAGTACTTGGGTTCGCGTCGAAGAACTTTGAAAGGTCCTTCGTATGCTGGCTTGAAAGGTCGTCGATGTGAGTCTCGACGCACAAAAATGTGTGTACTATATCATAAGTCAGGTTGAACGAAAACATCAGTTGATTGTGGTCGAGTGGAAACAGGTTTAACTGAACGCATTTCATTTGTAAGCCTGTTCGTGTAGGAGGTTAGATCCATGTTCATTGAAGAGGATGAAGGATCCACGAATTCTCCTGGAAGTCGAAGGGTCGTACCATAAACGAGTTGAGATGCAGTGTATCCAATATCAGACATCACTGCATTGCGTATGCCTAGTAAGACGAGTGGAAGAGCGTCAGTTCACTGAGAAATGTTTGAGGCTGATAGTGAAGCTTTTAGTTGTCGGTGAAAACGTTCTACCAACCCGTTTGCTTGTGGGTGGTAGGCCGCCATTCGGAAGCGAGTGATTCCTAATTTTGCGGTCAGACAACAGAAAAGTTCAGATTCGAACTGACGTCCACGATCTGTGGTGATTGTTGTTGGGCAGCCGAAGTTTGTTACCCATCGTTTGACGAAGGCGCGAATCACTGTTTCAGCAGTAATGTCCTTGATGGGTACTGCTTCTGTCCATCGATTAAAACGGTCTACGCATGTTAAAAGATAAGAATATCCATTTGAATCTGGTAATGGTCCTACCCAATCCAAATGAACATGGTCGAAGCGAACATCGGGAGTTTTAAACGAGCCTAAGGGACATTTGTTATGTCTAATAACCTTAGATTTCTGGCAGCTTACACAGGAGCGTGCCTACTCCCTCATGTCTTTATTCATACCAGGCCAGCAAAACTGTTCTGTTATAAGCTCGATGGTTGCACGAACACCTGGATGAGAAAGTCTGTGCAACGTATTGAAGACGTTGCGTCGATATTGTTTCGGCACGATTGGGCGATCCCTACCTGTAGATGTGTCACAAAGTAAGGTTTCCTTACCTGTTCCAATCTGTTTAATGCGCAGTTTAAGTGTTGTTGAGGCCAACTCGTGCTGAAGATCACTGTCTTCTTTTTGAAGTTGGGCGAGCTTTAAAAGGTCGATTCCTTGGGAACTGTTCAAGGAATTTATACGAGACAAGGCGTCTGTAACTACATTGTTTGCTCCAGAAATGTGTCGAATATCTGAAGTAAACTGCGAAATGTAGTCCAGTTGTCGAGACTCACGTGGTGAGTACTTGTCCGAAGAAGAGCTTAAGGAGAAGGTAAGTGGTTTATGGTCGGTAAAAATGGTGGATTCACGACCTTTGATAGTGTTGAAAGTGTCGGAAAGCACAATACATAGCTAGGAGTTCCCTACCGAATGTGCTGTACCCCGATTCAGTGACTAGCAACCATCTAGAGAAAAATGACAGAGGTTGCCAGGAGTGGTTAACCCATTGTGGTGCTGTAGAAGGTCCACAAAAATGATTGGCATAGAAACATCTGCAACAACAAATACCAGTGAATGGGTTTGCGTAAACCCACGTTGAGGTAAAAGTACCTTTTGCCATACGTAGAGATAGGCTTTCCTTTTGCTGCCTGTAGATTTAAAACCGATTCGTGAAACCGGTCGTTGGAATTCGCTGGAAAAATGTTAACTTCTGCGCCAGTATCGAATAGGTAGCGAACTCTTATTATTACATCTGTGACGTATAGCAGACGGCTATGTTCAAAGGCTACGGCTGCCGTTGATGCGTGCCGGCTTCGAAGTTTCATAAATTTTGAGTTGAGAAAATTGCAGTGTATTCTGCGATTTCTGGCGGACTTTCCATACTGATTATGATACCAGCACCAGTCAGGATTATCCGTCTCTCCAGGTCTAGATACTGATCGCATACGTTAAGTGCTTCTTCGTGTGGTGTGTCACCATTTAAGATAACGCGTAAGTGTATGATATAACTCGGTAATGTCATTCTGGGTCGTTTGAGGCTTTTCTTTGACTGAAAAATCCCCGGCATTAGAAGATTTAGTGATTTCGAGGATACGGTCGGCAGATGTAGCCAGATCGTCTACGTCGTTGTCTTAAAACGAGAACAGCCTAGCTTGCACCTGTTGAGGAAGTTTGGATAAGGAAAGTTGTTTTAACAGGCCATCATCTAAAGTTCTTTGGCCAATAACTTCTCTCATTCTTTGCAGCATGTCTGTGGCAGAACTGTGTTACACGTCGATGTTGTTAATGAGTTGGTCTAACCTTTTGCCGATTGGTTAGATCTCCATGTTTAAGGCTGGATCCTTTAAGAGTTTTGTATGGGTCATAAACATTGTAGAATTATGGTCTACTATGATATTAGCACTGCTCTAATAATAGACCTAATCATAAAATTGTAGATTTATCATGATGTAACTGCCTAATCTATAAGATCTTACATGGAAGTTACATCATCGTCTACACCAACTCATTGCATTGTGACAATTACCAGTATGAGATGGGGAACAAGCTTAGGCTAGAGATAGAATATATTTAGTGTGAATAAAAGATACAAGATAACATTCAGCTTGGACCACGCCTGCAAGGCCGAGTCATGCCATACCATCAACTCCAATTTATTCCATTTCTTGTTCCCGCCTTCTCCCTTGTTGGGTATTTCCCAGCGTTAAATGTTGAGTGTCTATTTTCCAGTTTGTCTCGTGTTACGGCTCAATGCCACTACAACATCAATAGTAAACATACTAGGTGTTACGTACCTGTTGAATTCGCGCGGTAGTGCCCTTACTACTGCAAGGAATTGTGCACGTGTTTCGTTCACGCCGTGCTCGCAGAAGTCATCTTCTGCGTGGCGAAACCAGGCTTCGATGTTTTCTCGTCAGAAAGACATTAGTTGGAACGAAGGTGGTGACACAGTCTTTAACTTAAATACCTTGAGGGTCTGTTAAATCATACTGATATATCAAGTACGAAAATGAACGAGTGGGGAATGTATATATATCCAAAAACACGGGAAAAAGTATCACAATGTATAAAAAAATTAATATATATATAATCCTTAAAAGAAACAGACTCACAGTTTGCAATTTAGTGTACCAAATCACTTCGGGCTCACCAATGAAGATGCCACAGATATTCAGAGTTTGACAACGCTTTAACCAGTAACACCTTCTAATACGAAGCGCACCCACCAAGTAGAATCAAAAGACAGAAGTGAGGAGGTTCGAAGATATATTTGATAAGTTATCAATATATCGAGGATCGTTTGCACTAATCTGGCTAGCGATTGCGGCAGATGTTGAGCACGGCGTTCCCACACGTGATCTGGTGCGGATGCTTGACCGAGCGCCTTCATCTAGATGAGTCCATTAAAACTAACGTGGTCAGCATCCAATATCGAAAACTTACAGAGCTATTAATTTTGTGGATTTATTAACCGATACACGGCTGAAACATTGATAACGTGACTTCACTATTTCAATTCTTATTTAGTACATTAAGCATCACTTAACGAGTTGAGGAAAATTGGCAGAACTGTGGTAATTGTCCTAACTCATGACTTTTGTAATTGATTGCTCGTTTATCACAACTTCCAAATATAACCCAACTAGTTGTGCTCATCTATTACTACATGCCTTAAATTGCACAATTCCGGAAATTCTTAGTTTTCTTAAAGAACCTCATCACAATAAAAGACTAAAATATGAACGATGAATATTTCTTTTCGATAAAAGCTCATCAGGTCTTACAAATATATATTCACATTATTAATCTGAAAATTGGCCATGTTTACGGCCACGTTCAACGTTTAAAGTTATAACATATGAATTTAAGATTGTTAGACAAAATAAAGTCATTATTGTTCAGATGATTCATATGCAGCATTTACTTGAGTCAGCCTATACGTCAAGTGAAATGTTAAGATTCGTGATTTAAAAAAATTTGGGACAGGCAGGGTGAAACAAATAATAGTGCAATTACAAATTACATCAAATGTTTAGCGGTAGACCATGTTGTGTAAACGTTCTATGTGAAAACCATAGAGAATAATGAAGTGGGATGAATGCTAAGTAAATGAACCATGTGTTCAGCAGATTGACGGGAGAACTTTCCACATAATCTTCAATAGATTCATTCGTCCCCATTTAGAGTACGGAAACATAGTATCCCCTCCTACACTCCAAAAGGATAAGGACACTCTGGATCGTATCCATCGGCAAGCCACGAAACCAGTTTGGCGACTCAAATTCAAGCCTTACGAAGAGCACCTCCAATCACTCAACCTTTACCAGAGTATAGGCGTCTTAGAGGTGACCTGATGGCTTACTGTATCCGCAACACTTCTGGACACCCCCTTAAGCTTAGTCCCCATACAAACCTAAGGGGTAACACCTGGAAGTTGGAGATACAACATAGCAGAACGGACTTTAGACACAACTTCTACTCCTTAAGAGCTGTCAACTATTGGAATTTGCTGCCGACTGAGCTAGTTCAAGCGACTTCCCGGGAGTACTTTAAGAGGAATCATGATCTATTCTTAAGGACTAAGGACAGTGTACTACTATGATTTACCAATTTCTTTTTTTCTCTTATCCTTAATATACCTAGGTTCTTGCCTTGAGGTATTGGTGATTCACTGCTACTAGACACGGAAGGCTGTTAAGCGAAAGCTTCTTCTATTCCGTCCACAACCATTTGAACCATTTGATTTCGGGATTAATTCGCCAAAATAGTGGTACCCTCACCTTCAAGTCATGCTTTTAAAGCTGTATTAATGAAGAACTAACACGAGATCTCGGAACCTAGACAAATTTGAAATCTTTATCTTTGGTTTTCGAATTCGTCCTAAGCGAGGGAGTTTCAACATTTTCTAGGTCACTTTGATATTGGTTAGCAGTTGTAAGTGACCAATTGAATGCCTTGTAGTTTAAAGTTATGCAGAATGCTCACTTCGTAGTTAGTCGTGCCATATTAAGTTCTACTAAGGACACATTTCGACGTTGCTTTAACTTGTCTACCAAACATTTATTTACTACGCCTTACCCGGTCTATAAAATCTGGATATCACGTCACATTCGCTTTGATTTATTCAACAGAAATTTTAGCTCTTCAGGTCCCAAGAGTATTACCGATTCTCCAGTTGAGAAGATAAATGCCAAAGGTAATAAGAAATTTATGATAACTAGTTTGTCAGTTGTTCCGAAAATTAAAACAAGCTTTTCTTATGATGATTCTGTTAAGTCTGTGAAATATATCACACCACTTAGAGCATTACGAGAATATATGCTTACAAAACAGTAAGTTTTAAATCCCACTCGAATTTTGTGTTGTTAATGCTTAAAGTGATATAGATCAGTTACCTCGTTATTACAGCCGAAGTCCATATGGCAATGAAACTAAAACGCTTGTTTTCCTCCGATCAGATGTAGAGCAAATGTAATTCATTCATATATATAATGTTTCACTCCAAGGGCTTACGCAAAGCACGGAGGCCATGATGATTTTGAGTTACGACGGAAACTCATGAAGGATATGGAGCGAAGAACCAAAACAGGTAGGTACATAATTGATTTTTATGATCTCCCAGAAATCTTCGATTTAAGGAAGGCCTTAAAATACCTTCAGAACTCAGCAGAAGCCAAGGCAACTGGAACATCGGTACGTCACTTGTCACTTCGTCGATATTAATTTGTGTAACAAGAACCGAGAAAAATACGCAGTTTTCTATATAATTTCTTTCCGTTATTCGTAAAAAATTGTCTTCACTTTGCTCGCAGATTCCTTGTGCTCTGCTTTCATTCTCAAGCGTGCTTCGTATTTTTTGAGTTCGATATAGCTAGCCTAGAGCGATTGCCTAGTAGTTAATGCGTTCGATTTAACCACTAAGTACCAGGTTCGAACCTTGCTCCATCTACTTCGACTTGGGCGACCGGTTAATATCATTACCCCTTGCACTTAGGCTGTAGCTCTTAACAAGGCATCTAGTGGATGAGTTAGCTTCATCCTTATTTTTGTTAACTTGTTAACATTGTTATCTAAATGTTCTTTTAAAAACTACGATGCTCTACAAAAGCTGCATATTTGTAGTCCTACTAGTTATCGGCTTTGATTTATGAACATGATAGCTGTGTTGATCTGTATCGTAACCCTTCCAACTTTTGCCATGGTCTTAGTAAAGGATATTATTTATTATAACTAAACTGACTTTTTTGAGTTACTGTGCAAACTCGATCTTCATTTATCAGATCTATTTCGCCGTTTAATCGAAATATCTTATCCCTGTCTCTATGATTACAGCATAATTATGTAAGCGTAAATAGTATTTCCAAATATTTAATATTTTTTCTGCCACAGGTTTTTATGGATAAACGGAAAAGTTTGTTTACGTCGGGCCCTGGTCGTGTTGTTCTTTTCGCAATAGCAATGTGAGTTATTTAGATAATTTCGATTAGCTCATTTGCTTACTGAATTTTGCAAGACTGCCTTAATTGTATCCCCAGCAGCTGCACTAATCTGTGATTGATTTTAAATGAGTCATTTTAGAGATCATATGAAGGCTTTCATATTCTGGAGCACATCTATTACTTATTAAATGGTTCCTAAGTGTCTGAGGGTATAAAACGTACTGTCGTTGGTTCTGGTTTACAATAGTGCTTACTTATCTTTCATGCTACTGAGAACCACCAGCTAATAAATTCAGGAGTTAGTGTTTAGTAAAAACGTTCATTGGTTCCTGAATTTTTAAACTTTGCCTAAGGTGATCAACATCTGTTGCGCATTCCACTACACTGTACTATAACATAGTAGTGTCCTAAATAGAAGTAAAGCAAAAGTTTCTGAGTCATTAGCATGGGGTATAAGATTTATTCATAAAGTTAGTGGCTGATGTATCAAGTTGTTAATAGTGTAAACTCAAGTAGAGTCCTCAAAACACACGAAGCAAAAGATTGAAAATACTCTATTGTAACCCAAATGCATCTATTCTTCATTCCTTTGTAATAAGTAATCGTAATATTATCCGTAAAAATTATTTTACACCTCAACTTACCTTTCTGTCGTTTATTTATCGTCAGACATACAAGCTTCTCCATTATTTTGGTCGCTCAAAATAGTTGAATATATCCTGTTACCGTCTTATACAGGAATCTTGGACACAGAAGGGTACATTAAAACTTACTCTATTAAAAGAGATTATCTTGTGAATAATTAAAAATAGGATATTATGAAAAGGAAAAATAGTGGTAAATAACAAAATAAGAACATAGCTAAGATAGATTTTATTAATATTACTGTTTACTAAAAATGCGATAGTAAAATAATAGAGTAGCTAACGGGTCCCATTGTATACGTGGCTATATCTATGGATTTTCGACCATATGCAACTATTTTTGTACTATTCTAATTAACACTAAGAATACGTCTATGTTTATCTTTGTTTAATGGAATATATACCCGATGGTATTTTTTATTGTGGTTTTACTTGTGTTATATCCAAACAAAGGATAAATGAATGGTAACTTCTAGGAATAATTTATGGACTTTTATACCGACCGTAGCTGCAACCTTGACGTGGTGGTCGGACTTGCCTATCGTGATGACCCAACCGAGCTATATTGGCTGGAACACATGTTCCTGCAGGTTCTACCATGCCAGGCAGGTCGACTGGAGAATGGTAAGACTAAAAGCAGCAACTCAAGGTCTGAGGGCAAAGTCGTACTGCTGACTGTACAGAGGTGTGACAGCAGTAAGGTGTTTCTCTCGGACAACCAGCATCTGCAGCGATGCTGCCTTCTCACGAGAAAGGAAGGGGTTAGAAAAGGTTGATCCTGAAAATGTCACACCTCACCTTACCCCACGGATTTCCGTCTCCGTGGTAAGGCCCTTTGAAGAACGGAACTAGCACAATAAAAACCTCCCACAAAAAGGCCGTGCGCGACCGGCCTCAAGCAGTTGTCCCTTGGGCACTGCAGTCACGCTCCCAGGTCGTTAAGACCAACACTAATCCGATTTTCTTTTTCAGATTCCTCGAGAAATACCCTTCCACGGTGTGGGCAACCGGGAAGTGACATCAGCCCTCATACCCGTAACAGCACACGAAACCAAGTTGGTCACATCCAAACCCTTCCTACACCTCCTAACAACTCTCTTATCTCCACGACTAACCCTTCTCAGGTCCCTTTATCACCTCGCCCTGCTGGTGCAAACGATTTGAGTACGCGGAACGTTATTCCTGGTCTCCTGAAAACACGCTCTAAACTACACATAGAAGCTTTCAACGTCCGAACACTGTACCAAATAGGACAACAGGATTCCTTAGTTAGGACTTTAGAATCTCGCTCCATCGATGAGTGCTGCGTCTCCGAAACGGGCACACAGGATTCGAGTAGTGTCATTCATGTGACTTCACCATGTCAAAGTAACGGACCAACTGGATTTACGCTTCGTGTATCTGGAAGCCCTGATGCTGCTTACCGTGGCCTCGCTGGCGTAGGTATAGCATTGAGTCCTAGGGCAGAACTAGCTCTCTTAGACTGGATCCCAGTAGACAGACGTTTGCGCGCTGTCCGACCAAACGGGACAGTACGGACTGGGAAAGATAGGGACACTCGTCCTGTCTGCCTACTCTCCCATTGACTGCGGCTCAGATGATGTAAAAGATGAGTTTTACAGAAAGCTTTCCGACCTTCTCCGAAAAGCTAGGCGTTCAGATGTAGTAATAGTGGCTGGTGACTTTAATGCTCAAGTAGGTAAACTAAGCGAAAGGGAAAGCCACCTGGGTGGATCTTATGGTGTCGCGGCTCAAAGAACAGATAATGGCGACCGTCTGTTGCAGCTATGCTCAGATAACCGCCTGTTTCTTGCAAACACTAACTTTAAGCATAAGGAAAAACATCTTTTAACATGGAGACCGCCTAATTCGTCCCAACGCTGGACCCAAATAGATCACATCGCTATCAGCCACCGATGTAGGGGCCCGATAGAAGACTGTCGCTCATTCTGGAGCACATGCTTAGACTCAGATCATGCTCTAGTGCGAGCGCGTATTTGTCTACGTCCTACTGGACGTAGGAAAGATGGTGCAAGGAAAACCCTTAGGGTCTTACTTGTTAAGGAAACCAGTATTAGGAACCCGACTGTTAGCGAAACAATCTCCGAAAAAGATGGACATATAATTCATTCTCAATCCAGGAGATTGGATCGATGGGCAGAACACTTTAGGGATCAGTTCAACTGGCCTTCAGCCACACTTCGGTTTCCCACGATCTCCAATCTACCTGAATGGCAAGTTAATGTAAGTCCTCCGACTCTTTACGAAGTTGAAAAAGGCTATAGGTAATCTAAAGCGTGGGAGAGCAGCAGGCCCTGACAGGCTTACCCCTGAGATTTTTAAGGATGGTGATCCAGTATTAGCAGTGAGATTGACTGAGGTCTTAGGTAGAATCTGGGAACTGGACGTAATCCCATCTGACTGGTTTCAATCACTGATTGTGCCAGTCTATAAGAAAGGACAAAATTCTTCTTGTGACAATCACAGAGGAATTAGTTTGACTAATATAGTGTCTAAAATATTAGCTTCAATAATACTTCGACGCCTAACCAAAGCTCGTGAAGAGCAGACTAGAGAAAACCAGGCTGGTTTTCGACCTGGACGTGGTTGTATAGGCCGAATATTCACACTACGTCAGGTCCTAGAACATAGACACACATTCAGATGCCCCACAATAGTAGTATTTCTCGACCTTAAGGCGGCATTTAACTCTGTTGATCGTGAAGTTCTATGGCAGTGTTTTTCACTGAAAGGAGTACCAAAGAAGTACATTAACCTTATAAAGGCTCTCTACACGAACACAACTGGTCGAGTGAGAGCTTATGGTGAACTGTCATCAGAATTGATTACCTCAAGTGGTGTTCGTCAGGGCTGTCCACTCTCTCCATTCTTGTTTAACTTTGTCGTTGACGTCCTTTTAGACATAACACTTTCCACATCCGAATTTCCAGGAGTTGAACTTCTACCGAAAGATTCACTTGTTGACTTAGAGTATGCCGTTGACATAGTTCTATTTGGTGAAGACGCTGACAAAATGCAGAGTCTGCTGACCACTCTAAGCAACAACGCAGGTATGTTATGCATGCGGTTCTCTCTCTCGAAATGCAAAATGTTGCTTCAGGATTGGGTTGCATTGGTACCCGAACTAGTGATAGGGGGTGAAGTTGTTGAGCGTGTCGACCGCTTCACTTATCTTGGTCTGGTGTGTGACGAAATTTCAGCACGGATACAGAAGGCTCGACTAGCTTTTGCCAACTTGCGTCCTTTGTGGCGTAGGCGAGATATCCGTCTATCAACCGAATGACGTGTTTACTGCGCAGCAGTTCGTTCCGTCCTACTTTATGGCAGTGAAACATGGCCGGTGAGAGTAGAGGATATTCGTAGGTTACTAGTATTTGATCATAGATGTCTTCGAAACATCGCTCGTATATCCTGGGACCACCGAGTAATTAACTCAGTTGTTAGGAAACGGGTACTAGGTAAGGATGGCAAATCAATTGAAGTAGTGAAACTTCAGTTAAGATGGCTGGGATATGTGTTACGTATGCCCGACCACCGACTGCCTCGACGTGCGATGTTTTATGGTGTAGGAGTGGGTTGGAAGAAAGCTGTGGGCGGCCAGACCAAAACATGGCACAAATCCATGAAGTCACTGACAAGTGGACTGAGTCATGTTGGTAGGTGTAGACTACCTGGTTGGGGACCGCGAGACGATAGCAACCGATGGTTAGAGATCTTGAATGACATCGCTCAAAACCGTTTGCAATGGCGCAGGTCCATCCACTCTTTGTGTTCTCTCAATTTCTAATCTTCTGAATTCTTCATGTCCTTTATTTTCTTTCCAAATTTATTCCACTGTACTATACTCCTTAAATAACATCATCAAACCCTAATGTTCCCTATTACTACTCATACTTTTACTACCTCTACCACTACGGGATTTGAATTGATAACTGAATCTCTGTACTAATGTGGTATGGCAACTCGAACTGATGTACGTGCATACAAAGTTCCACGTTGTTACTGACTGACTGACTGATGGACTATTATTCTTATTGATTGACCATTAAGTAACTAGATTATGTATATATTCATTTTCCTTTTATCGTAAGCTTTCATTTAACTTATTAGCTATTGCTACACAATTTACTATTTTTAATTTATTCCCAATTTATTAGCCAAAATCTCCCACACTCAGTCACTTTTGGCTTCATCTTGTATAATAATAAACTTTTATTTTATGTTATTACGCGGTCTGATTGGCTTACATATAAATCACGTGTCTCTGAAATATACGATTCATGCAGCGGAAGCTGATATTTGTGTTCTGGACTGAACGGGCTGGGCTAAGCGAGAAGTTACTCTACAGAGGACCAATAAGGACTCAGAGTTGACTCTAGGCTGTTCGTACTGGTTAACAGATCATTGGTTTAGCTCAGGGACGAGGTCATATAATCCGGTGTTTCAATTAGCGATTTTGTCACGTGGTATTTAATGAGCCATAAGACATAAAGACGTGATGCGGTGAACGAGGTTTCGTATTTCGTATGGATAATTCGAATAGATGTATATGTTTTATCTCTTTCACGTGTTATCTTCTTCAGCATAAACACAAGTGTATCGTCAGTATTTTTTCATTTTCGCTCATAAGATTATGAAAAGATTCCTGTTGATCCAAACATATTGAAAAAATATACTATTATTCTCGATTGTTTATGCTATCGGAATTTGATGTTTATTTGGTGAACATTTTGAATTATTTGATGCTATCTTTTAGAGGGTTAGTTCACCTCTTGATTAAAGTTTCTTAGAGCACTGGTAATCCACATTAGACGTTTCCTATTTTATGATTATTTGTTTCTAATTATATCAATCAATTAATAATACTGTATATTCTAATGCAGCATTATATTTTATCTCCAATAGAAATGGTCTCAACGTCGCAGCCAAAGCCTTTGGTTGGTGGTATACTGGTTCTAAAAGCATGTTTTCTGAGATGATGCATTCGCTGGCGGACACGATGAATCAGGTACTCCTTTCTGTCAATTCTCATTCTGTACATACTGTCACTAGACTACCTATCATAAAATTCCAAAACCTTTACAGTGGCCATCACAAAAACGCATGGTTTATATTTTTTGTATAATCCAGTCGAACTTAGTAACCAAAGAGACGTATGTATACCGGTTTCGGAGACAAAACTGTGTTACTTGCGATTCCTAGCATCGAGTCAACATACATGAAATATTCAAACCCATATCTTCTCTATGTAACATTAGAAATACACTCGTACTGTTTCACGCTTGTAATATTAATTACTATAAATTATTGTGGGATATATATTAGTACAAAGAATATAGAAAAATGAAGCGAACTAATTTTTCAATCCCTTTTCAATTTTACTAGCTGGTATTCTTGTTCCTTTTAGTATCGTTATAAGAACATTGCCGTTATCGTGGTGTTAATAATTTTCTTGTGATATAAGCTACAAATAAGGAGAAACATCACAATTCTTTTGAGCTTTTATCTTCATTGAAAGACATTTGCACGTTCGGCACTTTGTTACTAGAGATGGACTATTTTTAGTTACAGGCTAAAATTATAGTCTTTACTGTTTCAATATAATCTGAGCAATTTCGCTTTTCCATGGCTTCATTATTTGCTGGCATTTTCATTAGCATTTTACCACTGGAGCTATTAAGGTACAACTATTATTCATGAATTTTAGTTTCCCATAAGTTTATTCTTCTATACTTTGCACTTATGTCATCTACATACAAAAAATCTCAAGAAGATCTTTAAATTTTACAAACAAAACGTGTTTTCGTTCAAGAAATCTAGTCATTTATAAAGGATTATGCACACATATATAGCAACATTTAAATACTTTAATAAGCTCTCATCTAATTTGTTTTCGCACTTCATCGTGTTCAGAGCCTGACGAGATGAGTTTAATAGCAGCATTTGACTATATAGACCGCGAGATTCTGTGGCGGTGTCTGTCATTGAAAGGCGTACCTCAGAAGTACATAAACCTTATGAAGAATCTTTACTCAAACACTACTAGTTGAGTCATAACTTATGGTGAACTGTCATCCGCTTTTGCAACCTCTAGTGGTGTCCGGTAAGGCAGTCTTTTTGTAGCACTGACCAACAATGCTAGAATGTTTGAGATGTGTTCCTCCCCTTCTAAATGCAAATTGTTGCTTCAGGACTGACCTGCGTCAAAACCTGAACTAAGGACAGGGAGTGAAGTGGTCGAACGCGTTGACAACTTCGCTTACCTTAGAAGTCTGATCAACCCAAATGGGTTGGTTTCTGACGTATAAACAAAACATAAAACAAGCAAGAAGTCAGAAAGGGAAATTAATGAAAAGATTAGTACTAACAAGGAAAAACAGAAAGTATTATCTTACTCTGAACATTAAGGTGATACTACAAAATTTGTAATTTTCCCAAAAAGGTGTGAAAAAATGTTTTACGTAAATCCAATCTTATAAAATCTTAGAATATTTATTGGTTCATTTTATGCATGGAAGTGAATTTTTGTTGTCGGTGATTGGAATCATATAAAAGTTTATTGTTAATAAGCACTAAATCTTGAAAACAATATATTTCGTCAATTAATCAAAGTGAGAAAGCTCATAAAAGTTGGGTTACAAAGTGGCGAGACTAGATTTTGAAGGTTCCTTTTAACAAACCTTACCCCAAGAAATATGCTTAAAAGAGTTTAGTGCGTAAGTAATGACGAATACCTGTTTCTTCACACGTGCCATTTGAGCAACTTTTCAAAAAAGATAATGGTTGATCTGCATACGAAGATAAATGTGCGCATCAGATATAGACTGTTGATGAGTTCCCATCAACAGAATCAAAAATCTTCTAAGTGCTCATATGTTTTCAGAGTAAATTTCAATTACTTCTTGTGATTTAGTTTTTTATGTTAAATGACAGGGAGTTTAACATAATGCTATCATTCCCTATCTCGTTATGAAAACTTACTATTCACAAAGTTAAATTATTGATATGAATAGGTTTCTGATTAAGTAAATCCGGATTTATGCGTGTTAAGTCTTGATAAAATATATGACTTCTCCGACTACAATATAAATAAAAAATGCAGTATATGCTGAATGCGGGTGTTGGTTATTTGTGTATCATATAAATAAGAATAGCTGAATGTAGTGCTTAACATAATCCCATTTGACTGGTCACAATCACTGATTGTCCAAACATATAGGAAGGGGTCAAAATCATCCTATGACAACCATAGAGGGATTAGTTTGACTAATGTAGCATCTAAAATACTAGCCTCAATAATTATCGGACGTCTAACTAAGACTCGTGGAATACAAACACGAGAAACTCAGGCTAGCTTCAAATCTGGTCGTGGCTGCATAGACTACATATTCACCATTCGTCAGGTTCTAAAACACACTCATATTTATCGGCGTCCGACACTGGTGGTCTTCCTTGACTTAAAAGAAGCATTTGACTCTGTTGACCGAGAGGTTCTGTGGTAGTGTCAGTCATTTAAAAGCGTACCTCAGGAGTACATAAACCTTGTGAAAAATCTTTACTCAAACACTACTTGTTGAGTCAGAGCTTATGGCGAACTGTCATCTGCTTTTGCAACCTTAAGTGGTGTCCGTCAAGGCTGTCCACTTTCTCCATTTTTGTTTAACTTCATCATAGACCTACTGATCGGAATAACGCTCTCATGGACTGCATTCTCGGGTATTGATCTCCTACCAGGAGGTCACCTTATCGACTTAGAATAAGCAGATGATATAGTCCTGTTTGATGAAGACGCTGATAAAATGCAGTCTTTTGATAGCACTAACCAACAATGCTAGAATGTTTGGGATGTGTTACTCCCCTTCTAAATGCAAATTGTTGCTTCAGGACTGACCTGCGTCAACACCTGAACTAAGGACAGGGAGTGAAGTGGTCGAACGCGTTGACAACTTCGCTTACCTTAGAAGTCTGATCAACCCAAATGGGTTGGTTTCTGACGAAATTTCAGCACCGAATCGAAAATCTCGTTTGGCTTTTGCCACCTTACGTCACCTATGGTGAAGGCGAGATATCCGTCTATCAACTAAAGGGACGAGTATACTGCACGGCAGTTCGTTCTGTTTTACTTTACGGCTGTAAAACGTGGCCATTAAGAGTAGAAGATACTCGTAAGCTACTAGTACTTGACCATCGACGCCTTATAAATATTGCTCGCATCTGCTGGGATCACCGGGTATTAGGGAATGATGGTGAATCAGTTGATGAGGTTGTAAATCCTCATCGACTGAGATGGTTGGGCCATGTGCTACGTATGCCTGGACAACGATTACCTCGACTCACAATGCTGGCTAGTGTTGGAGACTCTGGGTGACATGGCCGAGAATCGATCACAATGGCGTAGGTGTACACACTCTCTGTCTTCCCTTAAACTATGAGGTTAAAATTATTTCACATAATTCTTTCTACGAACTAATTTTTTCTTCCTGTACTATGTCCTTATATGCAATCTTTCTTTTATATATTACCACCAGTGAATTAACTACTTGTATCAATCCGGTGTTCATACTGCTGTGCTAATGAAGTAGGGCAACTTGGACCGATACACATATGTGCCTGGTCTTACGCTGTAGCTGACTGACCATAGTTGGGTGCCGTGTTCATATAAGGCAATAAAGCGGAAAATTGTGTTTGTAAAAATCATAGAGACTGAACTTCAAGTAAATCCAATCTTTCGCCCGATAATCTAGTCCAGTTTCTCCATATAAATATAATCAAATATCAAAATCATCGGATATAAATACATGGGTCATCGGTTAACTGTTTACTAAACAAATCACCCAGTCATGTTAGCGCTGTTGAAAGTGAGATTTGTTGTAGTGTGTATGAGACTTGGCGTCAGTGGTGTGAGAAATTGTGTATTTATTGTTGTATGTGTATATAGATCTGATATGTGAAGAAATCATTGACTTCATGTCATCTCCGATTGTGTCACTAAAATCAATTGTATGTCCAGTCTCTATCCGGTGTATTGCTATCACTGACTTGCTATCCAATTTTTTGGGCCTTCTAAGGATTTATGAAAGTGCTGTTCCCATGCCTTGTCTATATGCATCTCAAAAACACAAGTGTAAAATGTTTGTGCCTTTTGTGTAGATTTGTATGTAAATGTCTCTAAATATAAGTCTTTTATGACCAAAACTCGTTGAATGTGAAGTTAGCACTTTTGATGATTGCGCTTACTTACTTATTGACGAGTGTTACCTCTCGTGGGGGAACACAGGTTGCCGACCAGCATTCTCCATACAACCCTGTCCTGGGCAATCATTTCCAGTTGTCATTTATCCCTTTGATGTCTGCTTCCAATTCTCGACGCAGTGTGCTCTTTGACTTTTCTCTTTTTCGTTCCCCTTCAGGATTCCAGGTAAGCACTTGCCTTGTGATGCGGTTTGGTGATTTCCTTAATATATTTCCTATCGACTTCCAACGTCTTTCCCTAATTTCCTCCTCAGTTGGAAGTTGGTTTGTCCTCTCTCACAGTAGGTTGTTGCCGATGGTGTGTGGTCAACGGACATTGAGTATGTTGTGTAGACAATTGTTTGTAAATGTTTGTACCTTCATGATGATGGTTGTAGTAGTTCTCGAAGTTACAGCTCTGTACAGTGACATCAATAGGAAGGTCTGTGGGTGCTGCTTCAATGTGCGGTGAGTTTAATGGGGCTGGTCTATTCAAGAGTTCCTCGAAGTACTCTACCCACTTACTTCTCTGTTCTTGAATCTCGGTGATTGTCTTCCGCCGGTCTCTCTGGTTTACTATATTTTCCTGCTAGTTTCTTCGTTGTATCGTAAAGCTGTCTCATATTTCCTTCTTATGGAGCTTTTTCCGCCGTCGTTGCTAGTTCTTCCACGTATTTCTGCTTGTCGGCGCTGATGCTTCTCTTCACTTGCTTGTTTGCTTCTATGTACTCAGCTTGTGTTTGGACTTTCTCTGCTCGTGTTCTGTTGTTGTTAATTGCTGTCTTCTTGTTCTTCCTTTCTTTGATCCTGTCCAGTGTTTCTATAGAGATCCATTCCTTGTGATGATGCTTCTTGAGGCCCAGAACCTCTTGACACGTTGAAGTTAATGCTTCATTTATACCTTCCTAGTTGTCCTCTATAGTAGTTTCTTCTTCCTTCAGTAGATCCTGTAAGGCTTGGAACCTGTTGTTAAGAGCTATCTTGTATTCATTGAGTTTGTTAGTATCTTGATGGAAGGCTGTATTGAACCTTTGTAGTGCTGTTTGTCCAGTTGTCCAGTTCTTCTTTAGCTTCAGTTTTAAATTGGCCACAACCAGGTGGTGATTGGACGCTATGTCCGCTCCTCCTCTGGTTCTTACATCTTCCATTGTCCTTCGGAACTTTTTATTGATGCAAATATGATCTATCTGGTTCTCCGTGGTTTGATCCTGCGAGACCCATGTAACTTTGTGTATGCGTTTGTGTGGGAATATTGTGTCACACATAACCAATTTGTTGGATGCACATAAATTTGCAAATCTCTCCCCGTTTTCCTTCCTCCCAGTCCATGTCGTCCCATGGTATTTTCATATCCGGTGTTGTCTATTCCAACTTTGGCGTTTAGATCTCCCATCAGAACGGTGATGTCCTTTCTTGGGCACTTCTCTATGATTGATTGCAGCCTCTCACAGAATTGATGTTTAATGTCATCGTTGCTACCATTGGTGGGTGCATAACATTGGATACTATTCATTGTGATCCCCTCCTTCTTTGTTTCGAATGGTGCTTTGATGATTCTGGATCCGTGAGATTCCCATCCTACAAGTGAATTTCGTGCTACTTTGGACAGCATTAGAGCAACTTCCTGAGTGTGTGGGGCATTTTCCTCTTCGTGACTGGAGTACAGAAGCATCTCTCCCGTGTCTAGTCTTTTCTGTCCAGCTTGGGTCCAATGGGTTTCTCTGATTTTGAATACTGCCAAGTTGTATCTACTGATTTCCGTTGCTATTTGACTGGTCTTCCCTGTCTCCCACATTGTTCGGACGTTCCATGTACCTATAAAAATTGTTGCTCTGGTTGTTAGAAGAGGCATCGGCCTCGTATTTTCCGAATGCGTAGTTGTTAGGGGTGTGATTGGATTGAAGCACGCTATTTTTTATTCAGTCAGCGCTAATGGACACCTGAAGAAATTTCCAGAATCTTCTTGTATATGAACCATAAATATGCTGACGTTTCTCATATCGTCATTCCTACTTTCATCTACCCTTGTTTTATGGAATATGATTTATTTCCTGTTCATTCGTGTTCCGATACGGGGATGAGGATTTTTCTTAATATAATTTTCTTCCGTAAACCAATAAGATTAGTCAAATTTATTTTATGGTGCGATTCACACTTTATTTCATTCTTCGTACTTGTTCAAACTAAGTGGTGAATAAGTATAGAAGTCTGTTGGGCTGATGGTAATGACTAAGCTGTTTTGTTCCGGATTTGAATAAAATGTTACCGACTTCTATATACTGAAAATTGAAACCGACTTACAATCTTAATTGACCATTAGTGTTGTTGAAAGTGATAAAAAATTTACAAACCAATTAGATGTCAAAGTATGTTATCTAGAAGAAATTGGGCCATCGGGATCTTATTAATTTGTAAAATATATTTGACGACTAAATCCTGTGCTTCTTTACATATTGACGATACGTAACCGACCAGTTTTCAGTTTTAATAACTTAAGATTTTAGTCCCAGAACCTTTCAAGCCGTTTCTTCTCGTACATTTCAAGTTTTGTTTAACAAATCATCCTTATTCTTTTTTCAAGTCTCACAGGCGCAAGCTTCATGAGTCTTATTTTCCACTGATTGTCTGTGGATTTCTTTTAAAGTTACAGTGACTTAGAGATGTTTCGCGTCAATTCTTTGTTATCAAACAGTCTTCGTTTATTGTTATTTGGTACAACAGATAAGTTAATTGAGTGATTCATAATTACTGTTTTCTCCCAACCTCCTAGGTTCTCGTTGCTTATGGTTTATATTCATCACTTCAGAAACCAGATGAAACGCATCCGTAAGCTCTTTCCTTCTATTTGTGTTGCTTCAGATGTGTGATTTCATTGATTACTGCGTATTTCCATTACTTGGTCTTGTGTAAATTAGCTTTATGTATACTTTAGTGATTAGCATTTAAACTGTTCAACAATAGAATCTACTTAAATGTAGCTTTTAATTTGAATTTTATTAGAAGTAATGTTTTTCAGTATTAACTCAAACAGCTTATTGAGTACGTCACTTCTTTACTATTTCTTCGCAGACGCAGTTTAATCATGTATTTCTCTTTACTTTGGTGTAGGCACTGTTTCTAGTTGTGAAAAATCACAAACTATAAGTCCATCAAGGAAAATCTCAAAAGGGTATATATAATTAATAACAGGATCTAACACAAATGTACGCCAATGTGGATTATCAAGGACTTCCTTGTTCGCCAGAACTACAATGTACTGAGTAAAAAACCAGAGAATTTAGAGCGTTCCTAGAAAATGCATTTCACATCAGCTTAGCGAATACGACTACAATGAAGTGCAGATAGTAATACCAACAATCGTTAAAAGACTGTAGGTAAGAAGAAATAGAAGAAATGGATTCATTCGAGGAATGAAAAGTAAATAACTTTACCAAGTTCAATCCTTAGAAATAAATAAGTAATAAATCTGTCTGCTTCATCGCTACCGTCTTTGTATCCATTTGCTTCGTATTCTCCTAGTTCACAGTTAGACCATATAGCTATCATAAGAATAAATATCAACTACCTGTGTTTTTATTCATTTAAGCAAAGAAAACTATTGCTGTCTTAATTATTATGGGACTATTTCCTTTTGAAGTAATTGGAATCTAGATGCATTAGTATGAATTTCCGTTAACTTAAATAACTATAGCAAAGTATAGCATGTAGAGAGTAGAGCAAAGGCAACGAACACAGTTTATTAGTGTATTAGTTACACTTCAAAATAACAATCGATTCTCATATACCGAAATTGTTTGATCACCTATTATTATTTGTACATTTTTGCTATCTCAAGAAAAAAATACTATCACTGTAATAAAAATTAATAAGTTTGCTCATCAAATAATTTCTTAGATATAATGGTGATAGTATTACACGTTAAATAGTATTGACCCACTTTTTTGCAATATAGAAGTACATATTTTAGTTATGTTTATTTTTCTGTGATTAACCGCTAACGAATATTACGAAACGAATCATGTTAAAATGTCGTTGATTTATTCAATCTCTAACTTTATATTCCTCATGAGCGTATTGTAGAATTACTTTAAGTTCGTCGTATAGTGTTAAAACAACACTAGATTTTCGATGGGATATGTATTTAAATACAAGCTTCCCTCGAACAGTACAATCCAAAACAGTGATTGGTAATGTTTAGTTTGTGATTAAACTAAGTTTTGCAGACTATTTGACTCAAAAGTAGAATGCAATTTCTGTTTAACTTCTTAGTTTGAAACAGTTATCTTTCTATAAAAAAAAAATAATAAAATTCAGTTTTTTTTAGATTGTCAGTTAAAGTTAAATCTAGTGTATTTTGTGTCAAAGGAATTTAAATCGACCGTGATTTAATCTATTGATATCTTTATTACTAACTACAAATTATCACTGTTACTTGGTTGTTTTTATCTCATTTAACATATCGTGATCGTGACTGTACATCGTTAAGAAATCCTTTGTTAAGACAAAACAACTGTTTAGTGCTGTCTGGTTTTCGATGGCTGTCTAGGTAAGGTCACTCCGTAATGTAAACCACAAATTGGTAGATCTCCGCAAATTTCCTTTTTTGGTAATAATTTTATTCTCACTAGTGACTAGTTGTGAAAAGTATTTCCGATGCTCTAGTGGGAGGCCATGCTCAGCGGAATTCAGTCGTTCCAGACCTTGGTTCGGTCCTTATTAGGGTCGTGGATGTGCACTTCTGAGGAGTCTCATGCTATAAAGAAACAGCTATTCTTTGGAATCTGATTATCAGTTACCTCGCCAATATTACTTTGTAGTTCAAGCTACCAATATCAAGTTTCTTATTCACAATCAAGAACAGTTCATTTAGAGATATTGTATAAGTGATTTTTCAGTTTCATTTAAATGCCACTTTTCTTGTTTGGTTTGATTTTTTTTGAATACCATTGATTTTAACAAAGTATTTTACAATAATACTTGATTATTAGGTACGGTTATATTCCAATGCGTAATGTATCATCATTGATAAGTGGTGTTGCCATTTTTTTCCTGGGAGCTGGTCTTACATTTTATCATAGTGTCCAGGGTATTTTGGAGCCTCACGAATTTGAATCTGTTAATCTGGTAATTAGTTTTATTAATGTTTTATCCTTGCAATAAATGAATAATTAATAAATAATTGACGGGATTTAAGCTCAATAATTTTAGTTTCACGTATTCTTCAGCTACATGAATGATCTGATGCGAAAATTTGTCTGTCTTTCAAATGGTGCATATTATTATACATTAATATTTCATAATTAAAATATAATAGTGAATAATAACATTCTTGTGAATATTACTCAATAGTAAAATATGATAAAAGTAGAGACATCTTCAAGAGTAGGACTTAGCAAAATGTTTTTGTAAATATAAATTCAAGAAAACTATAGGTTATGTAATATAAAGGGGGCTAGGTATATGGCTATCGATATATCTGATTACTTGCTGTAAATTACATCGAAGCAGGATCTGAGGCTCACTGTCTCAAATCCACTGTATATTGTAAGGTAAGGATATTACGGACCTACCCTCTATTTTGATGTTATACAAAAAGATGCCTTTAAATACGGCTACAAATGAGACCTCAAGTAACGCTACCATTGTAGCTATATATTCAACTGGGATATAAAATCAAATATATTTAAGTTTGGTCGGGCATGTGCTAGAAATTAAACATTTAAAGCGCAGTTATGAATGCCGAAATTGATCTTTAACTGATCATTGTAGCATCCGAATCGAGCATCACATGTAATATTTGGTTGAAAATTACACACAAACTCTCCATTTATGATGCCTATGCAATCTTCAAAAGGTATTGAATGTGAATTTTCGTACTGCTAAGCAATTAGATCAGTTTCTCATGTTTTGTATACTTGCAGAAAGAACAGAAAACATGTCATCACAGTCGTTTTATACTAGCACTGAAAAATATTAAAGCTACCTGATCCGTTGTCCGTATACGGTTCGCAAGCCGACAAGTGTTCAAATGCATTGACGCATTTTTGTATTTTAAAGAAGCATGACTCAAAGAGAATGAAATTTGCAAAGAACTCTATGTTCACAGCTGAGATGGAAAATATTAAATCAATTGCAGTATTTATGAGTTAACTCATGTTTTTACAGATGAGATTACCTTTAAAATTACCAATCACTTGTCCCTGCATTAGTTTATGTCTATCTCGTATTTTCCTTATGCAGGCTTTAATGGTCATGCTAGGTTCGCTTCTATCCGAAGGAAGTAAGTTGTTTCTAGGTAACCGTTTATGATCATATATGATATGATTAAGTTTTCACAAAATAGCATTAATTCTATTATTCCCAAGAATGAGTCATTTTATTCATAAAAGCAGTAAAACATAGATAATGTTAGGGATGCAGTTGTGCAGAATATAATTCCTTTATTCTACACTACCGTCACATTTTCTTCATTGTAATTTACGGTTGGATTTACTCTGAGACGTTTGGATTCAATGGAAACAGTTATATGTTTTAACCTATTTAATTTTCGATTTATAGTTACAATGACTTAATCAAGTATGGTATGTAGCATATTTAATCCTCTTCTGGAGCATTCTAATTCAATGAAAATGAAAAGAATCTTGTGTTCATGACAAAGAACTAATCACTTTTGATACTGGTTTTTAACATTTTATCAGTATGAGTTGAGAGAAGAGTGTTAAGTATTTATAATGTGTCCAACTGTTTAATTAAGGTTCGAAACTGTTAGGGTTATGAGATAGAAGGTAATATACTCATTGATGCAATTAACTGGAGAAACGTTTAAAGCAATTAGTCCCTTTGAAACGTTATTTGATATCATTCCCAAAAAATGCTACAGTGGTACATACGATGTGCTATGTTATTATGTTTATATGGTAGTGGATTATCATTATGACATCTCTAGGGACCACGGTATATTTCAAATCTGAAAATTTCTATCTATGTCATTTTTAGCAGGTTTTTTTCTCACCTTTTCTTTACCGTTTTAATTTATTTCGAAATTATCGCAACTTTTTTTAAGGCACCTTGGCTTTGGCTTATCGCGAAGCTAAAAGAAGTTTAAAACGCCAAAACTTCTATTCCGTTAGACATTGGTTGTTTTCCGGAGTTGATCCAAGTACTAGTATGGTTTTATTAGAAGATTTGGCTGCTGTCATTGGCGTTGTTGTGGCAGGGTCCGCTATGACCGTAACTGCTTTCACTGGACATGTTTTACCTGATGCAATTGGAGGGATTTGTGTTAGTGCGATTCTCGCTACAGTAGCTGGTCTGATCATACATACGAATACTGAAATGTTAATAGGAAGGTAGGTTGCACTATTTTAGTTGATAGTACAAAAACTTCACTGCTTGACATATATTTCTTTCAATTATTGTTTATTGACCGTTTATTTAATCTACATATGAATTTATGTAACTATTTGTAAAACTAAATCGTCTACGTCGTCTCACGTTTCTGACAAATTTTGCCTCATCATTGGACCTTGATTTCATCATATAAGGGTAGGGTAACTGCTTCAAATATTTTCTCTGTTAATAGTCTTTCTGTAAAAGTGACTACGATCAGTAGTTTGCTTTAAATTTCTGTTATTTTAATCCTAGTCATTTTTCATTGTTCATCTGGTGTTTTAGAATGTTATCTTAGCTACCAACCACGCTCTGCTAATGGCTTACCTGCTTCGGTTTGGGCACCCGGGCAGTATCACAGCCCACGCACAAATTGAGTAACTTGTGTGACGCATATGTATTTGGTATTCCTCTCTAATATAAATAAAAATAGTTCCCAATCACATACCAGTTTAATATCCCTCCGGAGCACTCAGATCGCGAAGTTTGTTTAAACTAATTATTGGTCATTTAGAGTTCTATTCATAGGTTGTTACATTATAGACTAATTTTAGATTTCTTGGTAAAAAATGAGAGTAAATACGGCCGTATTACAAACTGTACTATCATAATAAGCTTTAAAAATGTTTGACACAGTAGTCTGTTAAGTCCTTGTTGTTCTGTGAGTGCTTAAAATACGCTATACCTATATGGAAGGGTTAATGGTTTCATTATTTCCGACGTTTTGTTTGTTTTATCTGTCTTATTTGACTAATATAGGTAATAGTTTCAGTTTTTAACTGTCCTTTGAATTGAGACTAAATTTCCTTGACATCTGTTTCTTAATATTCGTTAACTATGAACAGAGCTATTCCAGTTGAAAATCAAGAGGCAATTATGCGTGTGATGGATAACATAAAAATTATTCGCGGGACATACGACATAAAAACAACTATGATTGGTGGTGAAGAAATACGATTCAAAGCAGAAGTTGATATTGATGGTCGAGAACTTACTAAACGTTACCTAGAAACCTTATCACTAGATGATCTTCTTCAGGTAAGCATTTTTATCAATAGTCAACTAAACATTAATTACTTTTGAAAGAGTTTGTACTTTTATTGGTTTTCGAATGTCTTAAGCTTTTCTTATTTTCGATACATTTTATTATCTAAGCCTTAAGGTTCCGTATTCAGCCTATATTAAATATATCAATGCACCGATATTGTTTTAAATAGTGATCAGTAGATTTTGTGTTTAAATTTTCGCCACTTTTTTCATCATTGTTTGTCGAATGATTAATTAATAGAAAAGTCGTCCTAACTCTTTATTGAGCGTTTTACAGGAAGCACGTTTTCTTTGCATAAACATATTAATACTGCTTTCCTGTCCATGTATTACCTATGAATTGTTAATAATTTCTTGCACTGAGTGGGTAAATAAAAGCATTGATTTGGTAATTCAACTTCACAAAATTATACTGTTGAAGTATTCCAAAGAATAGACAGGTCCCAAAAGTAAGTATACAATGTAACCATAAGTAGGTTTAATTAAAGAGATAGTAAAATCAAACAAAACGCGTGACATTTGATAAAATGAAAAGGTTCATATCAGTAAGCAGCCATACAATGATCTAGACTGCGAACAGTAACTCTTTTTTAAAATAATGACAGTGCTATCTCGTGAATGAAATTTGTATGAGTTGAATGAATTCATTGTTATTTACCGTTAAACGACTATCTGTTTCATATTAAATAATTTCTTTTCAGACACTTTATAATCTGTTTAAAGTGTAAGACGTAAATTAAAAACATCAAATTATTTTCTGTTAGTTATCAGTTAAAAAAAGACTAAAGCATCTCAAGTATGACATTCATTTTTGTTGTACTGTTTTCTTATGCGTTCATTTAAATTACTTAGCTTATGTCTTAGAGGCATTAGTTTTTTTGTAGATTGTTTTACGTCATCTTTCTTCCTACTTTTTAAGTTCGAGGTTTATTTGTTTTGTTTCCTTTGTCATTATATTTGTCCTTATTGTTGCCGTGAACGTTAGATTAGGATATCTTCAAGCTGCTTCAGCTTGTTTTCTTTCTTGTTAGAAGAAGCAAATTTATTCATTACATTGAGACAGCAGTCATCATATTCCAAAAGATTTACTTTACTTGACTAAAACGCAGATTTCCTTTTCGTTATGTTGACGTTCATAATTATGTCAGTCTGAATTTCAAATGATCTGATTGAAGCGACTCAGTTTTACTTTTGCTTTACAAATTTATAGGAGGTGAAAAATATTAAAACTGAACAACAGCTGGCTCATTTTATGTTGAAACATGGTGATAATTTGGTGAACACACTAGGCGCAGAAATTAATAAAATTGAAGAAAAAATTAAGGTAATATACCTTTTTATTCAGTTTTCTATAATTTGAAGCAATCTTCGTCACTGACGTCAGATAGTGAACCGTTAAAGACCATAATGGGCTGTTTCTGTTAGGTTTGTTACTTACCACAAGGAATCTCATCCAGTATCTTGACTTGGATTGTTGTTATAAAGCATTTAAGTGTGAAACAGTTACCAACTAATAAAGCCAGGTTGTCTTTACTTCGTATTGCAAATTGTATGAGGTTACAGTGAAGATCATAGGGCGAAACGCTAACGAAGTTAACACACTCAAGAGCAGACATAAAAATCTTGGTCCATAAATAATTAGCAGCTAGTTTTGAAGTGATTCATTTGGATCTTCGGTACAGTTACTAGTGACAATATATCGAGATATTAAACTGACAAGTCATGAATTGCATTAAAAATATGATTTTATAACGTAATGAAATTAATATCATTAATGAATTGACTGACTAGATATAGTAAATCTGATAGATATAAATGTTTAGATCTCTAAATTGTCACAGCCATTTTTTAATCGAAATTTGTGAATTCAAATCATCTCTGCGCGTAAATAGACCTGTATCTATCTCATACGATCATATATGTCCTGGTACCTGTTTGTACTTCTTGTTTGATTGTGTTGCTAGATCACTAAAGTTAATTACTCTGCTTTTACATCCTTTTGGTTATTTCTGTTTTTAAGTAATAAAATATCTCCAGATATTTGATTGTAGGACATCAATAATCTGGCTGAAGAGTTAATATCATGCCTTCAACACTTGCTCGTTTAAGGAAGATCTTCCACATTAACTGTAGGCGTCCCATAAAACATTAGAAATTTGGTTGTATTTAAAGTAATTTGCTGACAGACTTTTTTATGCTGACTTCATTAAGCTAGCGAATTTAAGTTGCGATGTCTATGATTGGCACAAAAGCTAGTCCTTCCAGCTGACATGTGGAAATTAAAGATTGGCATATGCTTACGTTTAACAATCTAAATAGTATGCGTCTGACTTCAAATATCATGACTGATTTCGAATACTTGGTTTTGTTACCATCTCCGGGGGTGTACCCAAATGCAGTACAATAAAATTGTTCATAATTGTATTTTTGTGTTTATTCCAACCTAGCAAGAGGCGTAAATTACAGCAATGAGAAAGTCTTCAATTACCCTATAAGGCATATAACCTTTGCTTTCCAGATCCATCAGTTGGAAGAATTAGATTTTGTACCGGTCACATGTATCGTGGCCAAATTTTGTGGTCAAACGAAGTCATCTTTCTACATTGAGAATGAAAGGAAAATCAAAACAGTGACGCGTTATTTAAAAGATACCTAGAATGGTAGACCTGAGAGGCGCATATGCTGCTGCGACTTAGTAGTTGAAGATATTTTAAAATAACTGATAATTTAAAAGAGCTTAATCACCCTCACAAAGTGGGCAGTTATTTACACATTTTTAAGTAAACTCATTTCCTCATAAGATTGTCACCATCAACTTGTTTTTTTTACTTAAATCGCGTTTAGAAAGTCAATCGAGTTTAACTAATATATGGCAATCAGTCACTTGAGCCGATCAGTTACTCTTTCAAGTCCATTTTTTTTTGCATTAGGTCATGTTTCACTGGTCAAATTTATGATTTGTCCTATGAACCCATTTACTTGCTTACCTTTTGCAAAAATTTGATAGAAATCACTATAAATTATTCCTAAGAATGCAATATTATGAATAGCATGTTCACGTTCCTTATTTTACCAAATTATGCGTCAACTAATCTACAGATTGTATTCCACTTTTTAGAAGGAATTCCCAAATGTAACTCATATCGACATTGAGATTAACTAAACACTGGATTTCCGATTTATTATCATTATTCATTTTGCGGACTACCCTTGCTGCATATTTCTGGCTTTTCTGTGATTTGAAATCCATATTGCACTATGTATAGTAATATAAAATATATGTACACAAAAACAAATTTAGTAAACATTTCCACTGTCTTAAAATCCTTTCCCGGAAAATATGTTTAGTATGCATGCAATTTATATTGCCTCAAAGTTATCAGCACAAAAAGGTTCATGATAGCAGTAACAACATTTACAGCGTTCTCCACAAGAATCCAGTTCGTCATTTGAATTTCAAGTTCGTTGCCTTTAGCCTTCCCATTGTCTTCTGTCAGCTATCTGTTTGCATTGGTGTTTCGCAAATGTCAAAGTCCCAAAGCCCGTAATGAAGTTTGTTTCGCTAACTTCAGTCCTAAACCTAACTAATGCTAAGGTCGAACTTATGAAGGTTGTTTTAGTTAGATGGGCAATGAAGACATCCTGTACACAGACCATTCTTAGTCGCTTTGGAATACATCCACCAATCATCATGACGTCTGATTATCGACTACATCCTGATATGCTCAGTCATTACTTAGTGATGGTTCCCCTTTGCATTAGTTACCCACCACTACCTGGATATATTTACTCAGTCCAGTTAGTTGTTGCTGCTCCTTATTATTTTAAAGGGTAAACCTAAATTTCATCTGCGGCTTCTGCTGGTATCAATAAATATTTCAACAATGGTGATACCTAAACTTGGGAGATTGCTAGGTCCAAACAGTAAGCAGCATGGCTGGAGTGTGTTGGTTCTTGTGATTAATAAATCAAAGAATGTTATTTTGCTGAAAAAATTGCAGGTTGATGTTACGGGAAGTGCTCCAATTGGATGAAGTGGAATGTTCGGTTCGTGTGATTTTGGTCTGCTGTAAAATCGGTGATGTACTTGTCAGCAGAATTTCGTTCTCGATTGATCTTGCTTAATTACAAATCATAAGATTTAAATTGGTTGTGGACGGAATGAAAGAAGCTTTCGCTTAACAGGCTTCCGTGTCTAGTAGCAGGGTATCAAAAATACATCCAGGCAAGAACCTAGGTATATTAACTATAGTACATTAAAAAAGGAAATTGGTAACTCATAATGAGATGTTGTCCTTAATCCTTGAGAACAGGTCAAGTTTCCTCTTAAAGGACTCCCGGGAAGTCGCTTGAACTAGCTCAGTCGGCAGCAAATTCCAATAGTTGACAGATCTTAAGGAGTAGAAGTTGTGTCTAAAGTCCGTTCTGCTATGTTGTATCTCCAATTTCCAGGTGTTACCCCTTAGGTTTGTATGGGGACTAAGCTTAAGGGGGTGTCCAGAAGTGTTGCGGATACAGTAAGCCATCAGGTCACCTCTAAGACGCCTATACTCTGGTAAAGGTTGAGTGATTGGAGGTGCTCTTCGTAAGGCTTGAATTTGAGTCGCCAAACTGGTTTCGTGGCTTGCCGATGGATACGATCCAGAGTGTCCTTATCCTTTTGGAGTGTAGGAGGGGATACTATGTTTCCGTACTCTAAATGGGGACGAATGAATCTATTGAAGATTATGTGGAAAGTTCTTCCATCAAACGGGCCAAAAATGCGTTTCAATGTTATCAGTGCAAGTTTTGTTCGAAAGTCATTTCTGTCACAGTTAGCGTAAGACTTCAAGTCGTAGGGCACTAAGACTCCTTATTCCTTTTTTGATTTGGGTTCTACTAGAGAGTAGTTTCTTAACTTGTAACTGTAGCCTGCGACATATCGCAGATGGATTTTTTTACACTTCGAAGTGTTAAAGCTAAGTCCGTTATCATCTTCCCAACTTTGAAGTCGAGTCAGATCCTCCTGAAGTGCCTGTATGTCCTCTTGGTTGCGTATCTCTCTCCAAAGTTTCACGCCATCGGCAAAAGTAATAAGTCTGACTTTACCTGTTGAAGAAGGTCATTTATATAAATCAAGAAGAAAAGACGTCCTAGTACTGAGCTCTGGGAGACTCCACTAGGACATTCCATAGCGTGTGAGAAATTGAAGTTAACCCTGACCTTAAAATGTCGATTTTTTGGATATGAAATGAGATAATCAATTAGAGGTGGTCTTATACCCAATCGTTTGAGCTTATTGATAATACATATATGGTTGACTCTATCGAAAGCTTTTGAGAAATCAAGGCAAATAATATCAACCTTCCCCTTGAGATCGAGGATGCTTGTCCACCGCAGCCAGTGGGTTGGTTATACAAGTTGGGTTGAGAAGAAATCCAAGGACAGTAAATAGTCATGTATACCATCGCATATCAGAGACCATGATTTTAGAAGGTATAGAGAGAAGAGCCACCGGCTGATAACTGGAAGGTTCGCTGCGTCGACCTCCTTTGAAAATTTGTGTGATGTGAGCCAGCTTCCATATTTCCGGTAATTTACCTCCACTTGGCGAGATTAACAACATCATGCCAAGCGTTTTTATCAGGACTGAGGCTGCTTCCATCAGTATAGCAGAATGAACGCCTGCAATTAAAGGCAACGCTTCAGGGGTATCGTCCACTGATGGAGGTTGCGAGCACTTGAAGGTCAAACTGTCTCAAGATGATTGGTGCGTCACATCGACAACTCGTGAAGTTTTTTAGAGGCGGTCAAATCAAGAGATTTTTAGATTTGAATTGAGTTCAGCCACACCATGTCTGATAATGTCCATCCTTCAAGTAACGAAGATGATGCCATCGTGATGATGCATGATATAGGACGAATCTTCAATGACATTATGTTATCTCGGAGATTTACAAGTTGGGACAATTTTGAGACCTGTTTGAAAGAAGTACATAAGGTAATATGACTTCTGTGGTTAATGATTATTTTTGTAGTATACGCATACTAGGTACGTTATGTCAGTATGTAAAAAGAACAATGATGACCCAAATCTAAAATGCGTTCACAGTGGTACCCAGGTTGTTGAAATCATATTGTAATTAATTGAGCTTAGACATTAAAAATATCAATAACATTTTACAACGTGTTCAAGCAAACACTGAAGTTAAAGTACTAAGGGAACATATCTATGATTTGCTTCAGTCGTAGGGATCAAGTAGCTGTTTACCACGCGTTCCCAGAGGTAATATGTATCGACTCGACTTATCAGACCAACAAGTTGGGTAAGTAACGAATCGCAATTAATTTATCTTACAGTTTTCCACTGTTCCAGCTAGTGGTGACTGATAGTCTTGGGAAATGGCACACTGTTATGTATGCTCTTTGCAAGCGAGAACGACGAGATGTCGTAAAACTATTGGAATGCTTCAAAGATATAATGTGCTGTACTTATGATACACACACTTTTGTTATGGATTCGGCAGCAACCGAAATTTCAGCAGTGCAGTCTACGCACAGTCATGCCGACATCGTATTTTGTTCATTCCATGCCTTAAGAGCATTTTACAGGATTCATTTCCCACGGGCGTATGGTTACATCAAAGATTACTGGATTGCCCGGAAGTCAATGTGGGCCCGTTGTTACCGACGACATGGATTAAGCCTGGGTAACCACACGAACAACCATGTCGAAAGTGCTCATAAACATCTGAAAGAATGTCTTAGAAGAGGTGATTCTCTGCTATTGACGCTCTGGAAAATTTAGAGCAAAACAGATACTGACCTACGTTTGCGTCCATATGACGCTGTGAAGGATCGTCAACGTTTTCCAATTCTTGAGGTAAGAAATATAGTTAAATGATTCATTAGTTCCAGGTTCCTATGTCATTTCGAACTCTTTTAAATGAGTTCACATCTTTTGCAGCTAAAATTGTAGCTATAAATTATAAACGTGTTAGGTCAATGAGACACGAATGTATAGCAGGGGAATACATCCGGTGCTACAACAAGGTTATGATGTATGTTGTTGGTACTTCACGTGCACGATGTGCTTGTGAGCGTTTCAATGACTACATGCTGCCCTGTGGTAATATTCTGTATGCACATTCTAAAGATCTAATAAGTGGAGGTAAGTGTGTGTTTCTTTTGTCTCTATAAGCATTGTAGACTTATTTCGACATAGCAGCCGGTGGACAAGGAAATATATAATGGACTTGGTTCTTCGTGCGATGGACAACATGTCAATCTCTACCGGGAGTGATGATCTGATAAAGAAGTTCACTAACAACTACCACTCAATCCATGCTCTTAGTGAACCCTTGGCAAGTAAACTCATCCGTTCATGCTTCGAAGCATCGGAAGACATATGCGCACAAGTGATGAGTTCAATCGGTGCTAATGATGAAGCTACATCGTCAGAATCCATTGTTAACACTGACCATAGCTATGCTTCTTGATGACAAAAAGTTCTAATATTGTAATCTTTTTAGTTTTACATAAATTTATTTATATGGGCATTAACTCATTCTTATAGCGTTACGGTAGGGAGAGTGTACTGTGAAGTCTTATGTCGCTATGAGAAAGGGATGTTGTTTCGCGTTCTTGTGTAATAATTACCAGTTTAGCGCACACGCCATTAGTTATACGCACTGTTTACCAAATACTGCAACTTTGAACATGATTTACTTACTATTAGGTCGAATTTCGACTTGTCACGATAGGTAAGCATTGCCGTAATTAAAACACTGATGTGTTATAAATGAGAACGTTTATCAAAGTTTAAATCCAACGAAAATGGTCCATTAATGAATAACTCCCAGTTCTTAAGAATTGTTCCAATTAGGTCTGTGAACACTTGCGAAGTCAGCTGGAAATAAGATAGACAGGAAATAACTATTACAATATAAATGTTTACCCAAAACTAATATAAAAAGAGAAACCGGTATTCAATTACAAATCGAGAGTGCATTTGGCACATCACGCTTATTTGCTTTATATATATAGACATATATAAAGACCGCTATGTGAACTTACTTTGAATCGTCCTGTATAATCTGCAATTATTGGTGCCTTTTTATTTTAGTCTCACGCAAGGTATAATTAATTGTCATTTACGGCATCAGCATATAAGCTAGCCAGGCCTTCGGTGATTTTCGAAGATCATTATATACGATCTCACACAATCAGGTCACCTGAGAACAAGATATCTTGATTACCCAATTGTACTTTCCGATGCTTTCTCGTAACCGCTTCATAATAGTACTTA